AGCTAGGATTACAGGCATGAGCCACAGGTACCCAGCATAGTTTTGAAATGACTAGCGCTTTTTCTTCCTATTCTTGCTTATTCAGGGTCCTCATAACAACCGTCAATGTATAACTCACTGAAAATACATAATTACTTGCATTTTCATGGAGGAAAGCAGGTCAAAGGAAGTAATGATTTATATACGTTCAGATAAACTGCCTGAGTTTACTTTCTGAGAGTAAGTGAATGGCAGAGGGACTCGCCACAAGTTAGCTTTTTGTGTGACTATTTACTTGAACTGGGTCTTGAATTTAGAGCTTCATGTTCTTACTTGACTTTTTCCCTCCAACAATTCAATTTGAGCCACTTTTCTAATTCTGCTATCATCTTGTTAACTAGAAATAAGGGTCATGTAGCTTTGTCTGTAGATGTCTCACCAGACTGGCTCTGAAACATAATTTTTCACATGTCAGACTCTTGAATAACTAGGAGTATATGCAAGAGAAACCAGTGAATACCTTGATGTGTCTTTAAATATAGTAAATACTCCTTCAGCTCATATTCCACTCCAGATTATTGGGAATCGGATATTACTGTTGTGACAAGTATTTATTCTAGGTTTACTTTCAATTTACTTGGCAAGAAAATTGAACCCCATCTCCTCTTCAATTACTTGGCAGTATCTGGCATTTTTGTGCATTTCCCTGTATTCTTTAAATTTTTTTCATTTACATGCTTCATGAGTTTTTATTTTTCCTCTTGACTTTGTTTTCCATGAATAGTTAAGTGTGCTTACTAAAAAAGAAATCAAGAATTTAAATGCTGGGGATAGCCAGGTACTCACGGCTCACAGCTGTAATCCTAGCTACTCAGGAGGCTGAGATCTAGGATCATGGTTTGAAGCCAGCCCAGGCAGTAAAGGCTCTAAGACTGTTATCTACAATTAACTGCCTGAAAACTAGCAGCAGAGCTGTGGCTCCATGTGGTTTGAGCAAGAAAGCTAAAAGGGGCTGGGAATATGGATTAGCATTAGAGTGTTGCCTAGTATGCATGAAGCCTGGGTTTGATTTCCTAATACCACATAAACAGAAAAAGCTAGAAGTGGCACTATAACTCAAGTGGTAGTGCTAGCCTTGAGCAAAAAGAAGGTCAGGGCAGAGCCCAGTTTCTGAGTTCAAGCCCCAGGACAAGAAAGAAAGAAAGAAAGAGAGAGAGAAAGAAAGAGAAAGAGAGAGAGAAAGAGAGAGAAAGAAAGAAAGAGAAAGAAGGAAAGAAGAAAGAGAAAGAGAGAGAGAGAGAAAGAAAGAAAGAGAGAGAAAGAGAGAAAGAAAGAAAGAAAAGAAAGAAAGAAAGAAAGCTCAGAGACAGCACCCAGGCCCTTAGTTCAAACCCACAACCTACAAAAAAAGGGGGGGGGGGAGTGATAAACTGTAAAAACATATCACAAATTGTTCGGAAATGTGGGAAATGGGCCAAAGGAATGTCCCATCTTCTGAAAGAAATAGGTATGACTGGGGGGCAGGTAACGAATGATCTTGATTTTAATTGTCTATCTGAGGGATGTAATTGGCACCAAGAAAATCTGTATTCTATACCTTCAACAAAAGTGATTCTTCACTTGGTGCTAGAAAATAATCAAATATTTATTTATTTTTATTTTTTTGTCGGTCGTGGGGCTTGAACTCTGGGCCTGGGCGCTGTCCCTCAGCTCTTCAGCTCAAGCGAGCGCTCTACCACTTGAGCTACAGTGCCACTTCCGGTTTTCTGGTGGTTTATTGGAGATAGGAGTCTCATGGTCTCTCCTGCCCGGGCTGGCTTTGAACCGCGATCCTCAGATCTCAGCCTCCTGAGTAGCTAGGATTACAGGCGTGAGCCACCAGCGCCTGGCAATAATCAAATATTTAAAAGAAGTAGTCTGAGTCCTGAGACCCTGACTTCAAACTCTAAGACCAGCACAAAAAAACTACTTTAAACATACTCACCCACAATCACCATCTCCATGGTCCTTCCTCTAACACTCACCTCAGTTCCCAACAGAGAATGTTTACTTACCTCTCATACATTCTTTTTTGGGGGGGTCCGGTCGTGGGGCCTGAACTCTGGGCCTGGGTGCTGTCCCTCAGCTCTTCAGCTCAAGGTTAGCGCTCTACCACTTGAGCCACAGCACTACTTCCAGCTTATTTTTTCTTTTTGCTTATGTGGTGCTGAGGAATCGAACCCAGGGCCTCATGCATGCAAGGCAAGCTCTCTACTACTGAGCCACCTTCCCAGCCACCTCTTATACATTCTTTAGTGTATATTCATTGCACACAAAGTTTCACCAATGTATTTCACACATGCAGCTTTAATAATTGAGTCAGGTTAACCTCCTTTACTGCTCTCTTTTCTTATGTTCCTGTGTACTCCAGTGGTTCAACAGCTTTCAGTAAAATTCCTTATGCCATCTTCACACAGGCATAATGTATTTTAAAACTTTCCCTCCATCCTTCTTTCACTCTTGTTCTGCTAAACAACCCCAATGTCACAATCATGTTTTACAGTGTGTGTGTGTGTGTGTGTGTGTGTGTGTGTGTGTGTGTGTGTGTAGGCATGTAATCATGTGCTCTTTTAGGGCTAGATTCCACAAATGAATGAGAATATACTATTTGGCTTTCTGATGTTAGCTTATCTCCTCTAGTTCCATCTATTTTTTTTTGAAAAAGAAAAAAGCTATTGTTTTTTGTTTAATCACTTAAAAGTACTCTTTGTAAGAATTTTATTTTAGAAGTCAGGTGCCAGTGGCTCACGCCTGTAATCCTAGCTACTAGGGATGCTGAGATCTGAGGATCACAGTTCAAAGCTAACCTGGGCATGAAAGTCCCTGAGGCTCTTCTTTCCAATAAATCACCGGAAAACTGGAAGTAGCACTGTGGTTCAAGTGGTAGAGTGCTAGCCTTCAAATGAAGAGCTGAGGGGCAGCTTTCAGGCCCAGTGTTCAAGCCCCAGGACCAACAAAAAAAACATTATTTTAGAAATTTTACTAATTTAATATCTGGAATTATGAAAAGAAAACCTCTGCCGCGGACCGGGTTCTGTCGGGAAGACGGAGGATACCTAGGGGAGGAACCTGGAATAGGATGGGGAGATGGCAAACAGACAACTCACACACATTAGGAGTGGATGTTGAGTGCTGAGCGCTGAGTGCGATTTAATGCAGAGGATAACAAACTTTTATAGCAAAAAGTCTCCATAAGAAAGGGCAAAAGGTTACATAATCTTGCTGCATGGCTTCATTCTTGGGCGGTCACCAGCTGGTCACCTGAAAGGGCAAAAGGTTACACAACCTTGCTGCAGGGCTTCGTTCTTGGGTGGTTACCAGCTGGTCGCCTGATGCTTATCTCTAAGAAATATAATGGGTTTTGATGTTTGTCACCAACTAACCATTACATTATTTCTTTAGAGGCCTTAACCTTCCCATAAGATCTTTTCTGTTCCTTCTTTAATAGTAAACACCAAGGAGACTTAGATCTAGCAAGTCTCTTAGTAAATGAAAGAGTAATAGGAAGTTCTTTCTCCTAAGTAGTTATCTCAGCAATTGCCATACATTCTTTCTGTTCTAGCCGCGCCTACAGCTTTTTGTAAATCTCTTACAAACAATTCCTTCTGCTGAAGTGACTTTGTGAAACCCCCAATACTTTTATATTTGCTTATGGCTTGTCTACTAGCCTCCATAAGAGGGGGTTCAGGGTAGCACTTAACTCCGGTGAGTTAGTCATATTTTTAAGACACTCATCAGATATTGGAGTCGTCAACACTCTTAAGAAAGAGCTTTAAATAAGGGAAACATTGACAATGAGCAAGTACAAAGAGCAGTAGAAACAGTAAAAGATTGTAGGCACTCTTATGAGGAAAAGATAGGCAGAAACACATCTTTCCCAGGGGCTTGCCAGCCTTTTCCCAGGAGTAGGCCTCTTAGAATCCCTATTCTCCGAGGTAGACTTCGGTGAAGTCCCAAAACTTGGAGATAGGTTTCTGTAAAGCCCCATTCTCTGAGGTAGACTTCGATGAAGTCCCAAAACTCAGAGATAGGTCTCTGAAGCCCCTATCATGGTCTGATAGATGGTTTCCCATGCTAAGCAGACTCCACTGGGGTCGGCGTGGCAAACCTCCAGTACCTTACTGATATCTGCACTGCATATGAAAAGTAAAGGAAACATAAATGCTAGCTTTTTAAAAGGATCTACTATTCAAACCGATACACTGAAAATCAGTTTGAACAGGAGTCAGGGATCTTGACAAAGCAAAATTGACTAAGACCTTATCCATCAACAGTACATACAACCAATGTGTGAGTCACTGGCCTGTTAATCCCTACAAAACTGCTCACATCTTGCTCTTCTTCACTTTCCCAAGTGCTTGGCCTTTGCCCCCACACTGCTGTTATGCCAACTATGCACAAGTTCTTTTCTTAAAGACTAAGTTCTAACAGTTTGTTATTTTTTTCACATTGACAAGACTAACTAACCATTTATTTAACTTGGGGTAACATAGCAAATACAGCTGGGAATATAACTTAAAACAACAAATGAGGTAGTCGTTTTTGCTAGTTCAGTTCACAAAGATTTAAGATAGACTACTTTCAGATTAACAAAGATGCAGAGAAAAGCATTATCTACACTGCTGACTATGCTGAGAAATTCATCTGGCTCTGCCTGAACACATATACTTTGGGAAGTCTATCATATCAAGAAAAATGGTATAAAATAAACTTTAACCAACATTATACAGGCAATGAGCAAATCCAGTCTACAGAGCAATAGTCATTATATACAATATAGCCATAGTATGTGAGGTATAAATTTAGAAAGGACATGTTGGAAGGAATGTTGCTATATACACAATGGACCCATTAAAAATCTCTCTACAGCAACTCATGTATATGGATGCCCAGGCTCAGAGTTTAAGCCCCATGACAGACAAAAACAAAAAAACAAACATCATCATCAACAACAAAAGCAATTTCCAGTGCAAAGCAAAAAGCTTCTACTGCAATTTGAGAAGGCTGAAAGTGCACCATTTCATAGTCCAACATAGTTGGTTCCATTAAGTATTTGGCCAAAGTATGCTGGCTCAACATCAACCTCTCCAATTTTTGATACTCTTAAAAGAGGTGTAGGGGTTGAAGGGGTCTCGTACAAAAGTTCAAAGCTCTTAGAAGCTTCTTTTCCATCTGTCCAATTTAGGGTAGAGCTCTCTCCTGTGTAAACTCTGATGTCTGCTAACATCTGACTTGTAGGTGAATTCTTTCCACATTTCTTTCATAAGGTTTCTCTCTTGTGTGAATTCTGATGTTGAACTTCTGCTTGAAAGACCTTCCATAATTGTTACATTCATAAGGTTCCTGTCTGTGTTCTCTGATGAAGGTTGAGGCTTCACTTGTAGTAGAAAAACTTCCATATTTGTTATATTCCTAAGATTTCTCTCCTGCATGTGCTCTAATGCATACAGAGATTTGCTATTTGCCTGAAAGACTTTCCACATGTCTTACATTCATATGGCATCTCTGATGCTTAGTGAAGGCTGAATTGTGCTTGAGACTTACATTTTTTTTTACATTCATAAAGTTTTGCTCATGTGTGAATTTTTTGATGCCTGCCAAGGTTTGATTTCTGGCTGAAACACTTTCCATTCATAAGATTTCTTTGTGTGTGTGCTCTGGTACTTGTAGAGACATGACATCCTGCTGAAAGACTTTCCATGTGTTACATTCATAAGGTTTCTTTCATGTGTGTGTTCTCTGATGCCTGCAGAGATGTGACATCTGTCGGAAACACTTTCCACATGTGTTACATTCATAAGGTTTCTCTCCTGTGTGTGTTCTCTGATGCACACTAAGGCTGGACTTGTAGTAGAAAGACTTTCCACATTTGTTACATTCATAGGATTTCTCTCCTGTGTGTGTTCTCTGATGCATACGAAGATGTGACGTGCATCTGAAAGACTTTCCACATGTGTTACATTCATATGGTTTCTCTCCTGTGTGTGTTCTCTGATGCAGAGGAAGATGGGACATCCATCTGAAAGACTTTCCACATGTGTTACATTCATAAGGTTTTTCTCCTGTGTGTATTCTCTGATGCACATTGAAGTTTGACTTGGAGAGGAAAGACTTTCCACATGTGCTACATTCATATGGTTTCTCTCCTGTGTGTGTTCTTTGATGCATACAAAGATGTGACATCTCTCTGAAAGACTTTCCACATGTGTTACATTCATATGGTTTTTCTCCTGTGTGTGTTATCTGATGCATATGGAAGTTTGACTTGAAGACAAAAGACTGTCCACATGTGTCACATTTATATGGCTTCTCTCTTGTGTGTGTTTTCTGATGTTTATGGAGATATGACATCAGTCTGAAAGACTTTCCACATGTGTTACATTCATATGGTTTCTCTCCTGTGTGTGTTTTCCGATGCCTGCAGAGATATGACATCTGGCTGAAAGACTTTCCACATGTGTTACATTCATATGGTTTCTCCACTGTATGTTCTCTGATGTACACTGAGCTGTGATTTCCATTTGAAAGACTTTCCACATGGTTTACATTCATTAGATTTCTTTCCTGTGTGTCTTCTCTGATACACACTGAGGGATGGGGTCTTCTTGAAAGACTTTCCAAATGTGTTACATTCATGTGATTTGGCTTCTGTGTGAGTTCTCTGAAGCCTCCTGAGATCTCACTTCTGATAAGTACATTCACTGTATTCATAGAGTATCTCTCCTCTGTGAGTTTCCTGCTGTACAGTGAGGTATAGTTTGTAGTAAGATCTGCTCCGTTTTTTACACCTAAAAACTTAACTCTTTCCTCCACTGTGTTGCTATTGGTGATTACAACTTGCAACCGCTGTATGTCTGGACTTTCCTGGCACATTTTAATCAAACCATCTACTTGCTGGACATCTAAAATGTTTAACAAAAAAGCAGAATAAAATCATGATGACATGCAAGCACTTCTTAGTGAATATTCATGTAAAGGAAATACATTTCCTCCTATTCTATTTACTAAAGATTAAAAAAAGTACTAGGAATAGATTTATGAGAACAATATAATTTCTTCCTAATGAGTTACTTAACAAAATACTGTCATATAGTCATATTCTTCTCAGATTCTTTAAGTTTTAGTCTCTGTTTTAAAGAGGAAACATTTAGTTAAAACACTCAATACCTGACTGCTAATGCTTTTAAACTAAGTACATATAATCTGCCACTTATTTCTCCTTCTCTTTTCTTTTAGGGAAGACTTTTGGGCTATTTTTGGCAACAATTATGGGTATTTTGTGCTACTTTCCTTCTGAAACTTTAGATTTGAAGATAGAAATATGTTCCAGAATCAGAAAACCTAAGGATGTATGAAAGGTAAATTACCTGTGACCTAAGCAGGAGTGGATCCTGAGAGTGAGGACTTATGCCTGTTTGACAAGCTCACTTCTCCCTGAAAATTCCTCTTGGCATCTATGGGGAACTACTCTGCTACAACCAGCGTGGGGACCCTAGAGCCCTGTGGGAACTGAGTACTTGGAGAATGACTGATGATTGCAGAAAACTGATGGTTTTATGAGTCTGTATCCTGTGTTTCAGGAAAGATAGGATTATGTGTTGTCTAACCTCCTGCAACAATCCTCTCAATGATAGGAAAAGTGTCTGTATAGGCCTATCTTTTTTTTTTTTGGTCAGTTGTGGGGTCTGAATTCTGGGCCTGGGTGCCATCTCTGAGTTCTTCAGCTCAAGGCTAGTGCTCTACCATTTGAGCCACCGCGCCACTTCCAGCTTTTTCTGCTTATGTGGTGCTGAGGAATCGAACCCAGGCCTCATGCATACTGAGCTACCTCTCCAGCCCCTGTGTGCAACTATCTTACTGCCTCTGATATCTTGGTTTTTAATGCTTAGAATATGCCCTTTTGTTCTGTTCCTATAATTCCCTTAAGCTAGCCCTGGTAAAATCTGACCATATGGAAGCAGAAAAAGGGGAGATAGTTTCTGTTAAGTTAGTTATGTCTGCCAGTTAAATTCATTCCTCCTCTAATAATGTTATTAAAAATTATGGAATGATATTACACAGGCATGTCTTCATCTGTTGCCCCAGTACTTGCTGAAGAGAACCAGCAACATAGGAATCCAGGAGCTGGGACATGAATGAGAATATCTCAATGAGGTCTGCTCGTTTTAACATCCATGTCCAGCAAATGCTGACTCACCTGTGATACTCCTGTCTGGGGCTTCTCCCAGCCATGGCTCTGACCCTTGCTCCAGCTTCACAATCACTTCAGGTTTAGGAACACAGTGCCCTGTTAATGGGAAATATTACAGAACTATGGTCTGGTAATAATCTCAGACAACCTGGTAGAGAAGGCTTCTCTGGAACCTATTTTCTCATTTCTCATCAATTTTAAAGATGACCTTCTCCATAAATATGTGCTTTTGATTTTAAATATCAGCTTTAAATGAACGATTTCTAAATCATGTCTCTAATATATATCTATCAAGAACAAAACACTTGCTCATGAGAATTAATGTGACCTTTGCTCACCCAAGGACACCAGGTTGCTATAGATCTCCAGCATTACATCCTTATACAGGGTCCTCTGAGCATCATCCAGGTCCTTCCACTCCTCCCAGCTGAAGTCCACAGACACATCCTCAAATGATACCAACCCCTGTAATGGCACATTTCAAAGTCATTAGCACTGAGTCATGGAAAAACCAAGTCTAAGGATTTCATTCCTCTACATGTATGTTTCTGACTTACATAAAATAGTTCAAGTTTGCTCTGTTATCTATACAGTATGGGAAGGAAAAGTCAAAGTACAAATATCTACCTTTATACTACCTTATTGATTACTAAAGCAAAGTTTCCCTTATCAATCAGAGGAAATGCTTTTAGTTAGTGTAAACTAGAGAAACAAGATAAAACTTTTCTTCTAAGCTGGGCTCCAGTGGCTCACGCCTGTAATCCTAGCTACTCAGGAGGCTGAGATCTGAGGATCTCGGTTCAAAGCCAGCCCAGGCAGGAAAAGTCCATGAGACTCTTATCTCCAATAAACCCCCAGAAAACCGGAAGTGGTGCTGTGGCTCAAGTAGCAGAGCCCTTGCCTTGAGCTGAAGAGGTGAGGACAGTGCCCAGGCCCAGAATTCAAGCCCCATGACAGAACAAAACACACACACACTCTCTCTCTCAAAAAGATACAAAAACAAAAACAAAAACTTTTCTTCTAAGGAGTTAATGATCTGCTAATGATCAACTATAACTAGATGCCCAGAATCTAGGATATCCAGAGCTTAGGAAATCACAAGGGGTACAAACCACATTAGCAGATCTACAAAAACACAGTGTCTAGATAAGTGTTAAAGGAAGTGACAGTATTCAAGAAACTTATTAGTAATGATTTGGGACATAGAAGACTTTACTTAATTCTCACAATAAAAGCTTCATGTGCTTATTGTTGTTGTTATGTCACTAAAGATGGTTTTAGGCCACCTTATACTGCATCCCTAAAAACAAAAGAACTAGTAGCATCATTATTATCATATTCTACAATAAAGAATATAAATGAGAGGGGGATAAAATATATCTTGACCAGATTTGCATTTAATAGTCTTTATGGAAAGATGGAAAGGATATGGGCAAAGAAATAGAGACAGGGAAATGGGGCGCTGTAGCTCAAATGGTAGAGCGCTCGCCTTGAGCTGAAGAGCTGAAGGACAGCGCCCAGGCCCAGAGTTCAAGCCCTATGACCGACAAAAAAAAAAAAAGAAATAGAGATAGAATAAAAGAAAGCAGTGTAAGACATGATGACCCCCAGCAGGATAAAGAAAAATAAGAATAAAGTTCAGGGAACTGATCCAAAAAAAATGTGGAAGAAAATAAAGGATGGTGAGAATTTTATTCCCAAGCTCTCACTACAAAAACAGAATGGCTAACCATTTTTCTACTGTCACTATGCTTAACAATACCAGAAATGAATGCTGACCCCCAGCAGACAAAAAGGAAATATATATGTAAAGGGTTTAATGAAAATAACCTTCAACTCAAAACAACTCACAATCTTCTGATCAGAGGAATTATTCTAAAAATGTGGATTGAACATATTTTCAGATTAAGATAATTCATCAGCAGCAAAGCTGCTTTACCAAAATGCTACACAAAATTGTCCTGTTTAGAGAATGACAAATGATGCCAACTTACACGTACTGATGGGACAAGGATCAGAGAAATAGTAAATTAGTAGATAGGCATAAAGGAATACAACACAAACCTATTTTGTGTAATTTTTTAAATGATGGCTTATAGCAAAAAGTACAATAGTAATTCGTATGATTCATATGAATGAAAATTCAATATATATATATACACATATATGTATTGAAAACAAAGTACATGAATTAGGGATACAGATGAAATATACAATTGCTACTATATTTGCCTTGCACATCTCATGCTCTTAAGTTCAAAGCCACATTACCAACTGTTTTTAAATGTATAAAGGATCAAGCTTACACATGAAACTATTGCCTTGAAAAGTACCTATAGATTATGATGTGGTATGACAGCACTCTAAGGATATTCAAAACTCAGAATAACTAATAATAATACAATGAATTCTGGTATATTAGTTTCCTATGGCTGCCATACTAAACAGATTAGGAGAGAAATACATTTTCTTAGAGTTCTTAAGATCAAGTTGCCTGAGGGTTTGTCTTCTTCTGAAACTCCATGATTCAGCCTGAGGGTGAGCTTCCAATAAACGTAAAATCTCTGGTTTCTCATGAGGAAAATACACTAGCACATTTGATTAGTGCTCATACATGATAACCTTGAAAAAATTAAAGTAGGCCTTGCATATTTGTGCGACCCACAAATTCAACTGTGGATCCAAAATTGTGAAAACATATGGCTCCTGTACTGAACATGTACAGACTTAAAAAAATTGTTAGTCCTGCTGGGTGCCAGTGGCTCACGCCTATAGTCCTAGCTACTCAAGGGGCTGAGATCTGAGGATCATGGTTCAAAGCCAGCCTGGGCAGGAAAGTCCATGAGACTCTTATCTCCAATAAACCACCAGAAAACCAGAAGTGGT